TTTGAGACAAAAAAAAAAACAAATATCAATTAAAAATTTGCCCATTTTAGTTCATAAATTTGATAATGACTAATCTTCTGAAAGACAAATTTGTTGGGAAAAAAATCAAAATATATTTTGATATTATAGAAATACTTTGTAGTAATTGAAACAGATTTATCACATAGAATTTTATAGTATAAATGTTATTTCATCCAGAATGTTTCATAGTAAAGTGTTTCATTACACAAAAAAAAAATTAAAAATAAATAATTCATTCGTGCCAATTGAATAGAAGAAAACTTCCATGATAATAGCTAAAAATGTTGAAGATTAGGATGTTAACTTTAGTATTTTTTTTTTTAATCGTATCTATATCATACCAGATATCCCTCAGAAATCTGCCAGAAGGATACTGTAATTACGATACAAAAAACAACTTGTTCATTGCTTATTCATAATCTAACTAAGCCAATGACTGTAAGTATGGTGGCTCTTGCTTTCTTAATGTAAACAATGTCAATCGTTTTGTTGATTTTTGAACTTAGCCATCCGATGTTAAACATTTCAGCTAACTGAAGCAATGTAAATATCATTTGATACAAACATTGAAGTAACAATAATTAATAATTATAATAATAATAGTAGTAATAATAACAGTAGTAACAATGATAGTAATAGCAATAATAGCAATAGTAATAATAGTAATAGTAATAGTAATAATAGTAATAATGACAAAAAATAATAGTAATTGTCGGGAATGCTAATTTGTCGTCGCTTTTGACAATAATTTAACCATCGGTTAGTTGATAAGTCGCTGACTCGGGGAAATGTATTTAGCGAATTGAAAAAAAAAAAAAACATCGTATTGTGCTGCTATCCGTCCAGTGGTGGCAAATATGCGAAGATATCATTATTTGTTATTCAATTGTTCAGCTGAATAAGCGAAAAGGATGTATTGTCTGCTTGGTTGTGAAAAATTAAATTTTTCCTTACATATATAAGGATTAGGGAGGAATTTTGTAAGCTCCATCGGCTAGTTATCATGAAGGTATAGCTACCTTTTGGCATTTCTATTGGGTAGGTACTGAGACGTCTTTGTTTCATGGAGTCCACTGTTAGCTTATATCCTATTTACGAGATTTCATCATCCTGTCTGTTGGATATTGTGGAAATTTTATTTGAATATAGCTTTAATTTCGGTAAGCCGAGAATGATAATAATGGTAATAGTAATAATAATAACAGTAGTAATGATGAATAATAATAATAAATGATAATAATAATGATAATGGTAATGATAATAATGATAATGGTAATTAATAATCAAAATTGTACAAGTAAAAAATTTTATTCTGTTTTATTATCAAACAAAAACCGGATGGTCTATTTAATTTGTTAAAAAAAAGAAGGGAGGGAGAGAAAGTATAAAAGACAACGAAAGAGGGAAGAGAAAATAATGTACAGTGAAATTACATATATATGACAAATTTATATGTTGCAAAGAAAAAAAAAATAAAAAGCGAACAAGATAATTTCATAATTTCTGATAATTAAAGAAAAGTGGGAAAAGTCGATAAAAAAGTTAAACGGTGAAAATATTAACAAAAAAAATTATCAAATCAGTAAGCAATAATATAGAAAGTATAAATGAAAAAAGGAGCGTTTATAAACAAATGTGATTTTCACTTTTTTTTTATTCAAATTGAAATCAAAAAAATTTAGAGTAAAGTTCTTTATTTGATATTTTTGGAATTTGTTCGAGAAACGAAAATTATTTAATGGATGGAAGTTCAGTAATTGTTGAAGCTTCACTTGAAAATTCACTGCTAACTGTATAAGCTGTTGAACTCTTCCTATTATGATTATCAGCGTTATTGTTATCACCAGAATCAATATCAGTACCATCATTATCTGATGACGTTTCCGAATCACTCTCAGTGATTGTATTATCAGAATTCCTTCTTTTTTCGGTTACCAAATGTCTATAGTTTACAAGAAAAGAAGCAAGTTAAATCTTGACAAATATTATTTTGATATGATTAAATTACTAATCGAAAATATACATTTGAAACAAACAAAAGGTAATATTTAACGTAGTATATTATAATAAAAAAACATGATTTAATTTGAAAAATAACTGAAATCAATAAAATCTGATGAATTCACTTACTTTTTGAATTTTCCAATAGAATTTCGAGTAGTTGAACCAGAAGTATATTCACTTTCCATTGTCATCGATGATGCTAATTTGCTACGATTAGAGTAACCGCTACTTTTGTCACTGTTATTATTACTAATAGTTTTATTAGGAATAATTAAATTTTGATTTATTGGTCCTTTTAATGGCCAATTCTCATTTAACGTTGAAATATTAGCCGTATTTTTGTCTGAAAATAAATAAATTTAAAAAATATTTTGCATATGATTTATTAACACAATATCATCTTCCCAACCTTGTAATCCTAATAATTTTCTAGTAAAATTCAAAAATACAATTACTAATGAAGATGAAATATTGTATTAACTTAGTAAAGAAATAAATAATTTTAATAATAAGATAGTTAAACGAAAAAGAAAAAATCGAAGTGAAATATGCAAAAAATGGGAAAAATGGAACAAACCTATGGATGATAATGTTGTATTAAGCAATCGTTTATGTGATCGACATGATGGATTAGCAGATATTCGACAAAGTCGTTCTATTTTTTGCTTCGAATTTTTTGATTTATCTTTTAGTTCAGCCGATTTAATCATATGCATCTTTTGTAGTGTTAACATTTTTTGAGCAATTAATTGATCTAACTTATGCAACAATTGTCGCCGACAAATAGCATTATAGCTATTTGATGAATTTGTAATAATATTTGCATTATGTTGACCCCGAAATTGATTTGATCCATTGATAATTCTTGATCTGTTTCCTATATTCCATTTTGGATAATTGCCATTTAAATTGGCCAATTTTAACATAGGCAACCTTTGATATGTTGCATTATTGAAGTATTCCGCACCTTTACTCATTGATTTCTTCGATAAATTAATCTTCCTTTGCGATTGATTACCAGATTTAATTCGATTTGAATTCTCACGCAAAACTGATAACTTATTGCCTAAAATTTAACTAGGAAAAATAAATTGCAAAGGGACATCAACAGAATACTAAGCAAATAAAATATATGAAATGGGATAAAATCAGGTAAACAAATAGGAATTAAATTTGAAAATAATTAAGAATAAGATTGTTATTATTATTATTATTATTATTATTATTATTATCATTATTGTTATTATTATTATTATTATT